TACTCATTTGCTACTCTCGCATTTGCTTGAGTACATGTTAGATTGGTAGCACAAACACGGGCAATTATTTCAGAAAGGAAAGTCTAACCTATATTCTTATTGAACTATCCAAACTTTATCAGATTTGTAGAAGTTGCTCGACCTTGTTTTCGTAACTTCGTCATATTAGCAGATTTGATTTGTATCCGCTTCAAATTCTTGGATTCTGTTTTTCATGCATCTATACTGATAATAGCTGATCCTGATCTCATTGAACCTCGCGTTTCTGAGCTATTTTAGCCAAACTTAGCATTCCTACTAGCTGAGACTACAATGTTGGAAATCGCCTATTAATCTTTTTAAACGAATGTTTTTTTAATTTCCTTTTCTTCCATTTCAATTAGTCGTCACGAGAGACTACCTTTTTATCATCCCCATCTACCGTACAGCCATCATCTTCTCTGCGAACTCGTTTTTCAAGTTCAGTTCCAGCTATCAAGCATGTCAAGCGGACCCTTCGACGTACTAATATTTCATCTGTTTCTTCTGCCGCTAATGCTTCCTCTCCATTGAAAGACAGTACTCCTGCCCAACCCCCTACGACTTCATACTCAACAAATGACCATGTAATCGAGACGCTAAATTCCCCGCTTTTGGATGTGCCACTTGCGCCATCTTCGCCGTCTCTACATTTTGAACTAGCCTCTAGTGCTCTACCTTGCGAGTCTCCTACTGCCAAGCCACGACTCAGAAGTACATCCAGGCGCTACACTACTGTCAACGTCATTCCTGCTCTCCCCGAGGCTGGGCTACTCGCCAAAGATGTTACGAACATATCTTTTTCTCTTAATACCATCACGACTAGGCAAAGACCGACTTTAGTTCAGCGCCTGCGCAGGCGCTTTTCAGGGCCCACTGATACTACATTACCCGAGGCAATTTCCTTGTCGAATTGCCGCAAGGCTACTCGTGTCGCTGTTAGCATTATTAAATCAGCTCCTCCTTTGCCTCACTCGAATATAGTCCCTTCTTTGGGTGTTCACCCAACTAGCACTACTACAAAATATGTCTCTTTTGACTCGAGTACAACTGTCTGTGTTTGGTGTCGACGTGCACTTTTGCCTAATCCAAGTGTGCATCATCGCCAGTGTTCTCGTAGGCCTAATTTGCCGTCTTCATCTGCAGATATTAGAGGGAACAAGACTGCTAGAAGGACCCGTCCCACTTGTTTGTGTCGTGCTTGTGGCGTTTCCTTCAGCACCGAATCTGGTCTGACGCGTCATCGGCGCTTTTGGCACGCCTGTGATGCTCCAGGTTCCCTTCGTCCCAGACATCCACCTCTTAACAATAAGCGATCAGTCTCAACTACTTCATCACCACTGCTTTTAAAGGAGCCATTAGTATCATCTTTGTTCTCTTGCCCAGGTTGCTCTCTCCGACTTACGAGTCTGGAAGAAATAACAACTCACATCCTATCCCACCCGGTCCCTACACTGGCCTCTTCAGGTAGCTCCTCTACTCTTATTGGTGGTGGAGTTGGAACCACTCTCACTAATAGCAATTGTAGTGGTGGCGGCAATGGCCACCACTCTGTCCCTCCAGGTCCCGAGACCATGCCTCGCCCTTGGCCGGTTCCCATTTATGTGCCAAATTTTGGTTTCGGTTGCTCTGTATGTGGTCAATTAGTGGCATCTGAGTCTCGGCTCGATAAACATAAGAAAGCCATGCATATGGATTGGCTGGCTTCAGATCAGGCAAATAGATAGATGGATGACCGATGGTGTGTAGGAAATGTACAGGCGAATAGTATGATTCTGGCCGTAATCTATTTACAATACATCGTTGCCTTTCCTAAATTTGGCCTGTAACATGATGCGAATTTCTTTTT